CCTATAAGTATAGCCCTATTAGTCTGCCACTGGGATTTCAATCTTAAAAAATGTACGGAAACCAAGTAAAACACTCAAATTCTGACCTGCAGCATTCGTGTCCAATTATACTGTATTGCAAAGTTTATTTATTTATCCATTTTTAATTTATTTAATTTATATGCTGACCATCTTACTCAGAAAAGCGATTCTGGATGGCTAAGAAAGCTGTTAGAAACTATTCTCAATACAACCCAGCTACTGCTGCAGTTTGATGACAATAAATTGCATTTGTTCTGAAATGTCCATGCTATATCTTTTTTTTAAAAAAAAAAAATACAATTTCTGGACAAAGCACTGAATAACATTTTATAGCCCAGCCACCAGATTCCTTTCAGCTAGATTTGGAAATATTCCTCTTCCAAAGGATAGACAATCCTACCCATTTGGAAGCTCAAAAAGTCTTCTTCTTTTTTTTTTTTTTTTTGGTCATCTGTTCATTTTTTTTTAAAACGGGTGAAATTATCAGCACTTGGTAATTCTATTTCCATAAAAAGTAACAGGCTGCCTTTGGCTGAAGCAGGGAGGTGTCGCAAATTATGCTGGTTTTGCTAGGGTTACGAAGGAGACAGCTGTGGCTTCTAACGAAGGCATTACTTAATATCTCTAAAAACACCTCACACTTAACAACCTGTGTGAAGAGCTTGGTGGCTCATTCAGCGCAAGGCCTACATTTCAAAGCACCAGGTCCGGAGAGCTGGGTGGAGCTTCTCTCTTACACGTGCATTATAACCATTTAAATAGATTTAAAAATAAGCAAGAAATACTTAACACCCCCCCTCCCCCCCCCCAAGTAGCTGCCTTTGCTCACCACTCCAGCTTGCATATTTCGCCTAGGACCTAGAACCAAGTGTCTCCTTTGGGGACAGATGTAGCAAGAACAGCTCCACTGCCTGGCTATTTGATGAAGAGCCAAATTAAAATGGTTGAAAATGTGTACTGGTAATATTGGTGGGTATTGTCTTTTTTAGCTTGGCTTTCCTTCCTCTTTTATTTTTAAACAGTTTGTTAGTTGTTTTCTTCTATAACTGGTCTTTGACCTAAATAACATTTGAATTGAACTAAGTGGCTGAAAGAATCCTCATGTTATTCAGGTAGGCATTCATTACACCACCTCAATATTTCAGGATGATCCTACCACTTGAAGTAAAGAGGGTTTTTTATTGTTATTATTTTAACTAGGAAACAGTTAAATCAACAGGAGTAAAACTGGAGAAGGACACGGGGAAGCGAGATGTAGGCTACTGGTTTGAAAGGAGAACACAATGGCTCTGAAACTCGTAGCCTTTCTCTGACCACCAAAGTCCTCACCAGAGAAGTTCTTAATAAAGCTAAATGCCTCAAAGCTTCGGTATTGTTGGGATACCGAGAAGAACTTTTTCCAGTTTGTTTTATTTGAGAGGTTTAAATCAAGCAGACCACCTTGTACGAGGTGTGGTTTTTGCATAATTTACATTCACAGTGAAGCTGTTGATTCTCACTTTCCTAATGGCAAACATTTGAGGTGTATATGGGGAAAAACTAAAGGCTTTTTAAATACAGTGACCAAGGTTTACACACACGCTGAAATGTTTCCTTTGGGAACTCCAAAGTTTGTATTTTTATTGTTTTTGGCAGACTATACTCCAGGTGATCATCGTGGCTTCACATAAAGCCAGTGAGTGGTGCATTTTGGTTAAAGCAGTATCTGCATGCATAGGTGTGTGGGTGCACCGGGGCAAAGGAGCAAGGTTGACCCTGCCCCTTTACCTACCATCAGGGTTGCTGGTTGTGGATTCATTTTCTAAAGCAGTCGCTATTCCCTACATAACAAGGGAGGCAGGGAATCCTGGGTCACTTTTGACCCTGATTTGCCGGGCTCAGCCTCTTTCTCCATTTGTTCCGAACTACAAAGCAACTCCATAGTCTGGTCAACCTGCTTCCTGTTTTGATGCACATCAAAATCCAGCTCTGATCACAAAGCAGGAGATTCTTCTACTCTGTATCATGTCTGTTCTCCTCCCATAACCAGCTTCATTTTTGGATCAGAAGAAAACCCCCTTTTTTTTTCTTTCATTTTTTGCTTGCCAGGCCCCAACTGTGCCCACCGCTTTGAGGTCCTTACGTAGCTGGGATACGATCCTGAACAGTCATTTCCGGAAAGTAAAGACCTCTCGTGTTTTAAGTCCCCTTCTGCAATCATTTCCTGACTTGGGAGATGGCTCATCCACCGTGCCTCCATATGGGCAGCTATCAGAGTCAGGGTGATTTCCAGTACATTCCACGGCGGGGATATAGCCGCTGTCCCACATGCCTGTTCCACAGAGTTTGCACAGGTCATGCAGACTGCAGGGGATCCGGGGTAGCAGGCGGAACTGATAGAGCAAACTCCTAGCCTGGAAGAGAGACAGCAGGAGATGTTTAGGTCCACAGAAGACAGCTATCTGGAATAGCCAAGCCTGTCTAAACCATGCCTATTGTTAACTCATAATCAAGGCTGATCACACACGGACACCCCAAAAACCTTCCCACATTGAGCACAACATTCTGTGCGCTCCTTTAAAGTCCATAAATTTCTTCCCAGAAGTTTTCATTTGAACCCTGGACATTGATTTACCTTCCTGAGTATGAGCTCCCCATTCATGTGCATGGCGAGGTTCCCAAAGTGTAGCAGCATCTGGTCCGTAGCCAGTTGCTGTTCAATGACATCATCCCCATAGATCACCACAATAGCCACACAGATGAAGAGATGGAAATAGTCTGTCTGCAGCAAAAGTAACCCAGAAGACAGTTAGTACCAACAATGCTTTGAAGAGGTTTCTCGGGCTAAGAGGAAGCCCCAAGAAATGGCAACAAAATAAAAAGCAATTTATGGTGCTCGTAATTATATGACAAGATGGAAGGGCAACATTACTGCTTGTCCACTATTCAAAATAATATATGATATAGAACAAAAGGAAGCACTTCGTCTAATGCAGAACTTGTGGATGTTATGGTTTGAGTTTCAGACTATGAATGCAGTAGATTAATCCAGAGCTCTCATTTGCATTTCAGATTTTTTTTCTCCCACCCAGTGAGGACAGATTATTTTCTGTAAGGAAATACAGGGGGAAAAAAACCACAGGAAAACAAATGTTTTGGAAAACTGGTTTTGGAGTCTGCAATCTCCAGCACAGGCACCATTGGAAGATTGGTACTGCTTCCATCAGGAATAGTGAGTGGCTGCTATATAGTCCAAGAATTTTTAACCTCTATAGTCTAGGATGCCCCAAGCAAAGGATGAGTAGAACATTAGCTCAGATCTTGGGACTGCATGAAACAAAGCCATAACCTTACACACCGGCTTTCTTTAAGCTGCTGCCTTCTTGCTGTCTGGGGATCAAGGGAGATGATGTCCAACCAGGTGAAGGACACCAGTAGAGCAAGGCTGCTCACCCACTAACTTGAGCCCCACTGAATTCAAAGGCATCTTCAGCTGAGAAGGCAGGTACCCAGTTGTGCTGGAGATTGCATTAGGAAAGATCAGACCTGAAAGACAGTCAGCAATGAGTAAGGGAAATTGAAGACTGCCATTCTGTCACACTGCTAACAACGAATAGGATGTTATACATGTCCACCCTGCTTTGACTGCAGCTTCTCTGAAATATTTCTGCAGCCACAATTAGTAGCAAACATGAAGTTTGCAATGCTGCCCCCTGCTGTCAGCTACAGGAGTCAAAACCAGATGTCTCCAGAGCAAGAATAGGCAACTACAGCTCCTTCATGACCCGTGGACTTCAATTCCCAGAATTCCTAAGCCAGCTGGGAATTGAAGGCCACAGGTCATACAGGGGCCGTAGTTGCCCACCCCGACTCCACCCGTTTCACAAAGGTCAAGCAACTGGAATGAGCTTCCAAAGGGATTTCTAGAGAGTGCTATCAAAAGTATCGCAAATCTTACTTGAATGAGAGCTAAGAAAAAAGAAGCCAAAACTGGTAAATCAAGGGATAAAGCCTGGTGCCCAAGAAAAGTAAAAAAAATAATAATAAAAAAAAATTAATGATGTACTTGAATAGAATGCAAACGTGATTGCAAGTTTATTAGATTTTTTTTTTAAAATCCTGCCTTTATTACTTTATAAATACCTTAAGGTGCTGAACAAACATACTATTCCTTCCTCCTCCTATCTTCCCCCAAAACAACAGCTCTGTGAAGTGGGTTGGGCTGAGAGAAAATGACTGGCCCAACCGGCTTTAATGGCTAAGGCGGGACTAGAACTCACTGTCTCCTAAGAAATCAATGCAAGATTTTGTACATGTAACAGTCAGACTTATGTTTAAATACCAGCAGTCTTTAGTGCTTGTCCCATACTTAAGCACTTTTGGCATTTAACATGATATGCTTTATTAATGTATAATCAAAGCTCTGATCTTTCCCTTCTGAATTCGGTTTGGCTGCAGGATTCGGTTTTGTCTTCCGTAACACGTTATTCCCACAGAAGTCTAGATCAGGCAGCTAAGAGGCAGCGAAGCCGGAGCCGGAGCCAAGAAGAGCCACCTTCCTGGCTGCCGCTCTATGCTAATTTGAAGCAAGCTTGCTCCAGGCATTTTCTCCCCCCTACACCCCTCCCTCCCTGGACCACCACCAGAGAGCAACTATTTGGCAGAGAGAAATGAGAGTTAGCAGCATATGGTGAACGTGGTTTGGTGGCAGCCTCCATTTACAGGAGAAGACCAGGTCTGACACAAACCATACGCTTGTTTTCCTGCTGTTGGGACCTGGGGCTAACCTCACAAGAGGCGCTGTGGAGGTAGGGTAGGCATGGCGCTGTCCCTCTCTCTCTCTCTCTCTCTCTGGAGAGAGCTTGCACAGAGCAGGCATCAACGTTGACACTTGGGAGAGGGCATGGCAGCCAAACTGCGGCTGCCACTGCACAGCGGGGAGAAGGCCTGTCAGGTTGATGGGTAGCCACAGCAACAAGAGGGCCCAGAAGCTTCCAAATGAATCATCAAGCGGGAAATTTACATCTGTTTGTGTAATGTCAGAGGAGACAAAGGGGGCAGGGGACATGGAAGGGAAGGCCAGGAGATTACTCAGAGGAGATCGGGAAGCATGTTCAGCTTATCCCCATCAAGACTGGGACAGAGAGCTGGAAAGCAGGGACTGCAATGGGCAACAGTTCTTCCTGGGGGGGGGGGAATGCGGGGCCCAGAGCAAGCTGTTCCCAGGCCTCACCTGGTAATGAGCCCAGCAGGCTTCCCACATGCGCAGGGCTTCAGCATCCGGAAACTCTCGCTTAAAGCAGAGGAGGATCCAGCGGTGACAAAAAAGCACCTGAAGGCCATCCTCCCCAAGGGAAGACAGGTGCTGGTAAAAGCGTATGTGCATCAACCGCAGCAGTTCTCGCAGGTACATCTGCAAAGAGAAAAATGGCGCCCGGCTCAGCCACAGCCAGGGAAGAAGAGAAAGAGGGACAGCCACAGTTTGCACCTTCTGGGATTGCCTACATTCGCTCTTCACACCCTCCTGAGTCGATAGAAGCTCACAGGCCTCCCAGAGCTGACTGCACCAGTTGGTGGACCCACAAACCCAGAAAACAACATGCCAACAACAAGAACGCTGGATCTGGGCAAGAAGCCTCGGGAGCTGCCAGGAAGTGGCTATTTCTGCCTTGCCAGGGCCTCTTGCGGGCACAACCTTCCCGTTTCTGCTTCTCTGACAGAAGGCCTCACAACCCCTCCGTTTCTCTTGTGGGATACACAGTGTCTCTGGCAGCCCCAGGTGCAGATTCCAGATTCTTTGGAAATGACAGGGAAGGGGAAGGAGAGGAAACAGAAAAGGCCCTCAGCTCCAAGCCTCACCAGTTGCTTCTCCATATCCTCATCCCGAGGGGAGCTGATAAAGATCGTGTTCTGCATCAAACCAACAAAGCACCAGAAAGTATCCGATTCATCCAGAACCTCAGCAAGGATGGGGGCCACGAGGTCAGACATTCCCTGGGAATAGCCAATGGCCGGGTTGTACACTGCATAGTTCAGCAAGATCCGCCTAAGAAAAGGACAATTTTTTTAAAAAAAAGTGAGGTTAGGGATGATGGAAGTCAGAGAGTTCTGTTCTTCCCTTACCAAGGAACCATTGGCCAGAAGCTTCTTTTAAAACAAAGGAGAAAAAGACCACTGTGACACAGAAAGTACATAATTTCCAGGAGAACAGGAAGCCCTGAGCTATTTAGAGGCCTGAGACAAAGCATTCTCTCTCTGCTTTAATCCCCCACCTGCAGTATTTTATTTATTTGTACCAGGCATAAAACTCACATCTTCCGGGTTGCTGTCAAGCAGCCTTTCCCAACCTAATGCCCCTCTGTTAACTGGCCTACAGCTCCCTTAATTCCCAGCCATTTGTTTGGAACCTACCAGCTGCGAATTTGGACACATATCTGGAAGGCCCCAGAATGGGAAAGGCTGTTTAAAAAGATATGGCATGCGAAACATTTGAAACAGCTTTACACTGAGTATGATTAGCCACTTCAAGTGAAAAAGCCTGTGACTTTCTCAGTTTGCCTGGAAATCCTCTATAGAGGATTTTGTCCAAGCAGGAATGAATTTGAATTTACCAATTAGATCAGAGGTGTCAAACTCAATTTCATTGAGGGCCGCATCAGCATTGCGGTTGCCCTCGGGGGGGCGGGTATGTGTGGCCAGGGTGGGTGCAGCCTACTGGGTGGGCATGGATGGAGTGGGTGTGGCCTACTGGGTGGGCATGGCCAGCTCTACATCGTTCGCGTCAAGGGTGCCTGTGGGGGCCTGGGCAGGAGTGGGGCAGATCTGAGGGTCTCTGGCAGAAGGGAGTGGGACCGGGGCAAGTGCCAAGGCATGGTCCATTTCTTCATTCCTCACAAAGGGTGACACCTCCCCAGCATGCACCCAGGGGGCAGGGCCAACATGGCAGGGGCTGGTTCCTCGCTGTTTCTAGACGGCCTTGTGGAGCTAAGACTGAATGCATTTCAGCATAGATGGCCACCACAAAATTGTACATTGGCTCCCAGCCGGCCAGGGCCAAGGCAGCGGGGGCCGTTCCCTCACTGTTTCCAGGATGGCTTCGCAGGCCACATGAAACCACTTCGCAGGCCGCATCCGGCCCCCGGGCCTTGTGTTTGACATGTCTGAATTAGATGCACAGTTTGATATTACTTGGACAAAATGATCACCTCATAGTCTCCACGTTGGGGTTGTTCTCTCCTCGGAAAAACTGGTTACTACGGTCAGTCCTCACCACGTCTTTATCAACGGTGAACTGCACATTCCTCCAGAAGGCCTTCTGCTCATCTGGTGCTAGGGAGAGTCTGAGGAACACCGGAGTTATTGCACACCTATGCTAGAGCGTTGCAGCGTGACAGATTCGATTGGAAAGAGATGCTTTGGAACGCTTGTTGAGTGCATGTCCAGCAACTGTGTCTTTTAGGCTGCTGCAAAGGGTTTCCAATGCAGCTATGCAATCCTAGAAACTTCTTGAATGTGCTGCAAATGGGGGCTATGGTTGCCTTCCAAAGCTGTCTCTTCCCGATACAAAGCACTACACAGCTGTAATGTATATTACTAGGGCACACAGGAGTAAACCAAACACAGCATATAAAATGATAAGTAGACTGGGTTTTTTTTTTAAAAAAAAAACTTATAGACAGTTTTGCATCAGCTTGAAATCTGTAAACACCATCCTCAAAATTAAACTCATCTGATTGTTGGCAGTGGAATAATCACTTGGCTCCTTTTGTAGGAGACTACAAAAATATAAAAAAAACAGCCAAAACAGCCTTCTTTTCCACTGCAACTAAATGTGCTCCTGATGATGATGATGATGATGATGATGGGACCAAGGGAAAAGCCTTGCCTGAAGATGTTGAACCTATGCAGTTCTAAAGGGAAGAATGCAGCCCTTCAACTAACCAAGTCCCAAGATACAATCCAATAATATGAAAAATAGACCATATAATAAGGGAGGCGCGTGCTTCTCACCACTCACCCTAATCAATAGCCTAAATGGAGGGTTCTATAGTTGTTGAAATTTCCAAACACTTTTCAAAGGCAGACCCATGAACGGTGTGCTACTATAACCCATACAGGACAGAACACGTCAGGGGTGCAAGTCAAAGTACTAGTTTTCATTGTGTAAATACATTCCTGGTCAGATTCTGTGGTGAATCCACCATATGCAAATAGAATTTTCACAGTATGTGTCACCCAACTAACAGCCTGAAACTGATTTCCTGCTCTTCCTTCCAATTGACCAGGTTCTTCTTTTCAGCCCCTTCTGAAAAATTTGTTCAGATACCTTGGAATTTGATAAAAAGTAGAGACAGACTGGCTGTCATCAGAGATTATGGGCAGTACCAAGCCCTAAAACTCTGGATGACCTTTACCAGCAGTTATTGATGTGTGTAAATACAGTCAGCCCCATAGATTCAACAGTTATGTCTGTAAACCCTGTTTTATGGTTTGTGAAACCAGCTGTGATTTATTCAACAAATCATATTTAAAGAAATTATGGCTGAATTTGACATATGAATCAGGTCTCAGAAGTACATCACTTGGAATTCTTTCCCAACCAAATCTCCCTCTACCCACCATAATGGTAGTGGATACTCCCTACTCCTGTTCATAATAACATAGATGCTTTGAGATGGGACTGGTCCTTAGTTATAAGAGAATCAGTTTGGTGCAGTGGTCAAGGTGCTAGTTTAGAAACCAGGACACTGGGAGTTCTAGGCCTGCTTTAGGTATAATAGCCAACTGGGCCAGTCCTTCATCTCACCCCAACCCAGCTCACAGGCTTGTTGCAAAGAAAACAGACATATCACTTTGAGGGATATTGTGTGTGTGTGTGTTTGTGTGTGTGTATGTATGTATGTATGTATTGGTAGTTCTTATGGACACAATTAGATTTCCGGTTGTTATTACAGTCTGTGATCACTAATCGGGTTCTAAGTACAATCCTATTGTTCTGAATGAGGGTTTTTTGGGGCTAATACCATTGCAAATCATGTGATCACAGGATGTTGCAACTGGATGTAACGGTGAAACGGATGCCAAGTACTTGAAATATGGTCATGTCACTGTGGGGGGGGGGGGGACACAAAATTTTATGAAGTTAGAAGTGCTTTACTACAAAGCATCCATTCTAGACCTCTAATAATTTTGACCTATTGAAGGCTGAGAACTCTGTGTGTGTGTGTGTGTGTAAATATAAATGTATAAATGAAAGATGGTATAGAAAGATGAAGAGGAAGAGCATGAGGATAAGAGGATGGAAGAAGAGCAGGGCAAAGTAGTTTTGCAACAGTATCTTCACACATTAGCCATCTCCTCCTGGCCACCTTTTCTGTTGAATCTGAAAATATTCCTCTCTCTTTGCAATACGGAGAGCCTCCCTCTCCTCCGATGTGGATTCATAGCTGTAGTAGCGCAACAAGAAGGGCCAAACTTCGCCACGGATTGAGACATCGATCCCGCCAAAGAAAATAGCCTAGGGAGGGAAGAAGAATGAGAACCACATTCAGAGAAAAGTGTCAGCGTTTCTGAAATGGAGCTCTTTTTACTCTGCCTGACAAGAGCTCCCTTGATTCAGGAGCCCACAATCTGCATATGCTGGGAGGGAAAGCAGAGCCCTCCCATTTCCCAGGGGAGACACAAATCAAGCTCATTTCAATGTCAATAAGTCCCCTGGAGGGCCCGTACAATTAACGCATCATTCTCACGTCACAGCTTAATCCCCAATCTTGGAAACGGTACACTTGGACCCAGCCTTGCACAGATATTCCATAACCTTTTATTTATTCCAAGCCAGACAGTTTCGAGCACTTTCTTGGGGCCTGATGAGAGAGGCACAAGCACCCAAGCACCCGTGGCAATAGCTGCAGATCCTCCTATCTCAAAGAACAGTGACCAACAATGGCTTAGCAGCAATCTGACTTAAGAAGGAGCTTTGTGTGTGTGTGTGTGTGTGTGTGTGTGTGTGTCTGTGTGTGTGTGTGTATTCTGCTGCACCTAACTAGTTCAGTTCCTTCCCTCTTGCCAGGATTTGGCCCAAACTAGGGACAATGGGCAGAATGCCTTAAACTACGGAGTCTGCCAGAGGGAGGCTCTCTGTTGAAACCCAGAGCAAAACATGCCGCTGTTGACTTGCTTCTCACCTTCCTCAGCTTGTACTCTTCTTCGACTTGTCCAGCCTTGTTTAGATGACGAAGCCACCCAGAGACATCTAAGCGCTTATATGCATTCTCCTCCGGGTGGGTCTCAGAGGAAGGGAGCTTGGGCCGGCGAATGGAGAACTGCATGCAAGTCTTCACGTCGGTGAGCTGCTAATTGGAAACAAAAGAGGAAAGAGAAAGCTTGTGTCATGGCTGCATCGGCCTTAGGTCTCCAGCTCATTTTGACACCATCCTGGGAAAACAATCAACCAGCCAACCTCTGGAAACTGGGGGAAAGCAGCTGTCCTGGAGGAATTAAGGTTCTGAGTCCCCTTAAAATTGCTTTGTGGTTGGCTTCCTTTCTCACCCCTCCTTGTCCAAGATCACAGTTCACCCAGCTTGCAGCCATATCTTGAGTCTGCCCAGGAATGCATGTAATAAATTACATCTGATTGGCCACATACAAAAGCCCTGCTGTTAGGGAAGAGAGAAGCAGCGGTGCCAGGCTCTCTGAGGACGCTTGCCATTCCAGGGCAAAAACTGCAGCTGACATTTAATTTAAAAATCAAAAGGTTGCTCCACACAAATGCAAGCCCCTGTGGCACTATAATGAGAGGAAAGCAGCAGGAGAAATGTGTGTTGGGGGAGGAGGTAGGGAATTTAGAAACCCTGTTTCTAACAAGCATCTCCGGTACCTTTAAACACATAATTAAGACCTTTGCAAAGTCTTTGTGCCAATTAAAGGAAGATATGGCAGCGGGTCTTGTCAAAACAGGATTGGAATGGACTGTAAAGAGCCACAGAATGAACAATTTCCAGAAGGGGCAGCTGTGCCATTTTGTTTCAACAATGAGTTTTGTAGCATATTAATGACTAATTTATTGTAGTATAAGCTTTCATGGAGTACATCCACTGGCATCAGCATATACCTAATGTTCAAGACCGTGTTGGCAGTGGGAGTTGAGGGACTCCTGGGGACAAAATGACAAACTGAAGTTTGTGGAGCTGACGCTGCAGTAAAAAAACTGGCGAGGAGATCAGCTCTTTGTTATTCCTCTCTGGACAAGAAGATGATTCAAGATTGCCCACAAATGCTCTAGGTTGTTTACACCTCGCAAGGAGATTACAAAACAGCAATCGCAGGTGGATTTAGAGCTCTGGGAAACAAGGTAATAGCCATCTTGATAAAAGTGGGGTCAACTTTGAAAGGACGCTGGGTTCACATACTTCCTTTTCTAATCACTTTCAGAAATTGATTGTTAATTGTTTTTCAGCTTTAGGAACTTTTGGACTGACATGTTTTACGGCACAGCGTGAGTTTCCTCCAAACCTTAGCAAAAGAAGCTTTAAATACAACTTTAAGGACTGAAAAAAATTGGAGGGGGGAATAAATACAAAAGGGTGATGAAATCTTTGATTTTAGAGAGTTTTAGAAAGTTACAAATGGACTAAAGGTCCAGATAAATTTGAAATAAAATTATGGAAGCATCCTTCCTGTGGGAAAAATGCTTTTGTTTTTAATTCTTTTGTTAAGGCTTTAAAAATTGGACACTGTAGAGAACTGTAGAGAACTAAAACGAGCTAAAGATTACAATTAAAGGAGAAGAACACTCAAATTTGACTTATAGATAGTCCTCAATGTTTCCCCATTTATTCAGTGACCATTTTGTATTTACAGTGGTGTTGAAAAAAGTGATTTGCAACTGGTCCTTGCACTTAGAAGCGTCATGGAGTTCCCATTATCATGATTTGGGCACTTAGCAACCTACATGTATTTATGATGGTTGCAGAGTCCCAGGCTTATGTGATTGCTATTTGCAACCTTCCCAGCTGGCATCCGGTAAGCAAAGTTAATGGAGGAAGCCAGATTCGCTTCATGACCTTGTGATTTACTTAATAACCATGGGAAAAAAAAGATAGTAAAATCAGGTATGGTCACATGATGACTGCATCGCTTAGCAACAGAAGTTCCAATCCCAATTGTGGCTGTTAGTTGAGGACTACTTGAACAAATACAGAATAAGGCAAAATATTTTAACACTGGGCCTACTAAAGGATAGCTTTGAACTGGGCCCAGAAATTAACAGTGTCGGCCTCTATAGATAGATTGTGTCTAAAAGAAGTAATGGGAATAAATTCTCCCTCACAAGATTGAGATAGATTTGAAACTGGATTTTAAAATGACAGGCTAAAAGAATGATATGGAAAAAGATGTTACACTCTACATGCAAAAAACCCGAAAAACAAAAAAAACTCAAACAAGCCTGGATAATTTTCCTAGATTGGATTTACTAAAGAGGCATGTTAAAGCTGTGAAGAATTTTATATGAAGGGACAAAGAAAAATGAAATCATAGTTCTAGGACATTTTGAAGGGCCTAAAGATCAAAATGGTTAGAAATAAAAGGAAGGAATATAAAGTTGGTTTATATGATCCAGGTTAAAAATAGATTATGTTGTTATCTCTGATAAGCCTTAATTGACTTTTGCTGACATCAGTATTGCAATGACAAGGATTTAAGGATTTGGTTACAGATAAGGAGATATGGGAAGAATATATTTGTTGTATTTAAGAAAAGGTGATACGTTATTAAAATTGTAATTGTAATTTCTTTATATGCTTTTTTCTTTGCTATTGTATTTGCTTATTTTTTTTCTCTTCTATTTTTCTATTTATTCTCTTTTTTTCTCTTCTGAATCTTTAATTTTTTGGTGTTTTTTTTTAGTTTGTATCTGTTTTTAATTGTTATCAATTGTAATCATTAAAATAAAATTACTACTAAAAAAAGACCGTGTGTGCAGTAAAGATGCTGATACATCCTAGACAGGAATTCAAATTCTTTCCCTCTTCCAAAGATGCATGTTTTTCATCTCTCCTCACATCAAGCAAAACGGAAAAGACAAATGATTGCTTGCACTGCTGTGTCCATGTTTATATATAGCTAACCTGTCATGCCCAATCGCTGAGAGCAAATGAAACTAGACTGAAGTCTTCAATGTCCAATAAAGCATTCTAAGCCCCCCTCCTCCCCCAGCCTTCTTTGGCATGTCTAAAATCCTGCCGGCTTACTCCTGTTATGTAATGTGTTCTCTTTCTAGCCCAATTTTAGAAGAAATGAGCATTTTGGATGCCTCCATTATATGTAAGATGAAGTCAGAAAGTACTGCTGTTCTTACTTCTTTGGTATAAGGAAGAACCAGATGGGCTTTCTGAGTTTACAAGCCTACCAATTATCCAGAGGCTGCCAGGAAGAAGGAGGGAATCTACTGAAGTTGATCGTCATCAGGTGAATTGGCATTTTCAAGCACCTGCTCTAATCTAACTTACCTGGTCTTTGAGATGCGTCTCTGTGCAATACTTCCATTGCTGAAACACTTCGGAGAGTTTATCCAGGCCACCATGGTGAAAGTGAAAAATCTTATACTGACTCTCCCGGCTAGCAACCACCAGCTGCCCGCTGGTGCAGGCCTCATCACTGAAGGAAAAGGTGCAGAGAGAGATGTAGGAGCACAGAGTCAGCAAAATGTATTAGCTAGGTGCCTTGCCCTGGGACCCTTTGAGACAGACCATATTGTGTGGATGTTACCATTTCCGCAGTGCACCAACAATATTAAGGGACGATTTTACTCCTTTAACAGTGTGTGCATTTTTTGTAGGCTTGAAAACACTAAAAAAAATGTAAACACAGACATTTTATGATAACAGGTAAGGACCAAGTGAAAAGGGCTATGATAAGAATAAAGGGTTTGCTAACAGAAGTGTATAAAATCAATCAATCTTATTTAACCGGAAGGCCCAAAACCAAATGACAAACGTAATCTAAACTTGACACTGGGTTAAAAACATATTAACAAGTACAATATTTAATAAATACTACATAACAGACTTTAAACCCAAGCTCATTGATTTGCTATTAAAATCCTTTTTTATAGCCATAGTTAAAAATTTGGCTGCTGCCACTGTAATCTTAGGATTTTCATCGACAAGTAAAAATTTTTACATGCTCAGAAATATTTCTTCCTGGTTTAGATTTTAAAATAGGCCCAATAACTTCTATCCTTCCATTCCCCCCGCCATCAGAACTGATGAAGCTTCCTTGATGAGAGGCAAAATGTTTTCTTCTTCTTCTAAGAAAAAAACAGTCCAATTGCCTTTTTGAAGAAAAAAGAAACAACTATGACCTGGATGACTGAGACTCTCCAGAGACATTCCTACTGAAAACTTTTACAAAATGCACAATATAATAAAATATGTTCCACAGTTTCAGGAGCAGTACCATTACAGGCAACATATTCAATCCAGCTTTTAAAACTGCTGACACAAGCTAACCCTTGGGAAAGAAAACGGATGCTACTACCCTTCCAGCATAGTCAGAAGCTTGGGCCCAGTGTGGTTCCTTCCCATTATTGCCCTCCATCTCTTTCCAAGGCCTCTCCTCATTCACCCGCTTGTTTTATCATCATTTCCCTGTGGAATGTGCCAGCAAGGACTGAAACGGCAAATTTCCTTGAGAACTCCAAACCGCAATCAAAATGAATTATGGAAATAATCTGACCTTACTTTGCATAATATATTCTGAGCACACACTTTGATTCCCCCCCCCCGGGGGTAGACGTTGCTTTTCATTTTCTCCCCTGCAGAACACACACGGCTCTGATTATGAACCAGCATAGCCAAATTGTAGCTTGTGAGGTCTTGAAGAATCAGGGCATGCCACACACTTCTTGGTACCCAATGAAGGGCCTGGTTTCCATCTGGTAATACTTACCAGATTGTTTATGGTAATCAACCTGAGCCTTGGTATGCTCAGCAAATCCTACCAACATGGATCTGGGCGAAAGAACTGAGGGACTGGCTGCCAAGGTCAGTTTGCTTCTTCCTTAAACTCCTCCTGGCAAGGCGTAAATAATTATCATGCTAGATAGATGTACAAGGTGGATCCAAAGGATGATTGGATAGAAAATTATTCCTTTTAACCTTAGGTTAATGGTGGATAAGAAAGAATCTTGTGATAGTGGAACCACTTGATCCTGTGACTCTTCGATTACCCAACTTTGTTGAGAAGGAAGGCAACATATTTCTAGCCCTCATGTTTTAATATGTCACCACTTGGATTGGTGACGATACATTTAAATAATTATAGTCACGAGATCAAGGGAGTGGAAAAAAGGGAGAAAAATTAGCTTGCTTGATAATTCCAAATTGTAATTTTTAAGTTTACATAATTAATTTTTTTCAAATCTGAACTTATTGTGGATATGTGGTTAAGAATAGCAGAAGAATACTGTAGTATGAAAAACGTCTTCATACTTGTTTCATAAAACTTGCACGCCAATACTGTTAATTATCTGAAAATAATAAACAGGTAAGGTTTTTCAGCTCTCCCCGCTTTTAAATGAAAAGACTTTACCTTCTCTCTTATAGACTGCATTGGTTCTGGTTGTTATGGACCTGCCTTCTTTGTTTGTTTGTTTGTTTGTTTGGTTTATATTTCACACTTTTTAACTGCCCATTTGCCTCAGAGAGGGGTTGGAGTGGTTTACATGGCTTGCCTGGACCATGTCAACCTTATTTACTCAACTGCACAGTCACTAGAGATCAAAGCAAAAGGTGAAGATGACAGGGAAAAGATGGGAGAGGGAGTGCTATAAATGTATATGAAATATTTAGGGCAAAGAGACCACCAAACCCTGTAGACAGACAGGCAAGAAACTAATCCCTGGGAAACAGCTGGGAAACAGAATGAAGGGTATTGTTCCCAATTCTCAGGCATACTCATTAAGCAACAGCTAAGTATATGGCCTATCACTTAGCTACCACAAGTCCATACAAAATAATCGTGCCAATTTGGCACCCTCTGATGCATTGAACTGCAATTTCAAAAATTATCTCTTTGAACCTGAAGAATTTGGGGAACTATTGTTCGACACAACTGGGAGGACACGTTATGGGAAACATGGCCAAAAAATCCTAAATTTAAAATAGTACAGACTTCATATTATTTAGGAAAATTATCAGGAAGTTTTTTTTCTCTTGCATTCAGACAAATCAGCCATCAATAGACACACATAGAAATAAACCATATTTGCACACCATTTTGCAACTCAGACCAGTATTTCTTGATCACTTATTCAAAACACACAAGTACACAAGGACAATGTGATAAAAAAAGCCAGCAGATGAGTATGGATAGTATCATCACTCCAAGGAACCGCAATATTGGTTTTGACCCATGTGGCAGCGTGAAATCTTTTCTTCAAATGAAAAGCCAAGAATGAAAACTCGTTCTGGTTTTGTTGTGCTATCACATGCCTAGGTAACAGAACAATGCCAGCCATGTCCGGACACAGTCAATTCTTACCTGAAAAAAAGGCGAAGAGATCTCATCTGTCCCAGGTCAACTCTGAAGACCCCACAGATCTGCTCCAAGGCAAAGACCTTCTGTTGCTCATCCCATCTGGAGGTCTGGACCTGCCCATTATTCTCCTGGAACTGGGAACTGGGATCAAGGCTTGAACTGGAACTGGTTGAGTGAGTCATGTGGCTTTCACATGGATCTCTATACCAAATGTAGAAATGGATAAATAAGTAAAAAAAAGAAGGTGGTATGGGGCAGATCACTACTAACTGCAAGAAGCAGGGGTACAGTTGCTGTGGGGTAGATGGAGAAATCCAGGTGGACTCCATTTTGCTACAAAGCCTGTTCTATTATCCTGGCCAGTAACTTCAACCTAAACTCACCCTGGAACATGCATGCATACAAATACACATACATATATACCTACTCATATGAAAAAATGCTTCTAGACATTTGGAAACATAACCATACTTGAAGCTTAAATTTTATTTGAGTAGATAAAACCTTTCAAGTTGTAAAGTAAACGTACATATAGAAACTATATGGCTTAGTTAATTGCTATTGCACAGAAACACTGCTAATTCCACAAATGAACTTTTCCTATCTATATATCTCACCGTTCTCTATCCAACCCAAAGTCAATAAATTACTCTGCTTGGTAAATATCTTTTCAAACTGATGCGATTTGGTTCAGACTGAAATAAGAGTTACAAGGACAAAATGAAAAACGGTGGATGTCTCAAGTATCTTTGCAAATATGGGAGCAAGAGACATGAAAAAGAGTGTCATTTCATTTCATTTCTTAATTCTGAATGGACAGGGAGAATTTTGTTGGAAATTCAGTTTGTTCCATTTCTGCCAAGGGGTGAGGGGGAAATTTTGGGTAACCTTCCCAGTTATAGCAAAAGCTGAATTTTATAATGTGGCAATTTCTCAAAAAAAGATTTTCTTAGTCGCCTTTAGACAAGATGGCTGATACAGAAATCTAATAAATAAATAACTTCCTGACAAAGAAGAAACAGTGCAGCTTTGGGCACAACTATGGGACAACCGAAAGAAATACAACAAAAATGCAGCTTGGATAAAATAGGTGAATAAGAGAGGAATCTTTCAAGGAGATCCACTATTGTTTGTTGAGTCCTCTGTCAATAATACCAAACAGGTCAAGCCATGGCAAAGGAGCTTGAACTGGACAAGCACGCCAGTCTTACCATCAACAGGGGAAATGAAGATTAAAAATGAATACATTACTAGACTGAAGAAGATCATAAAGTCCAAACTCAGTGGAGGAAATGCCATCAAGGCAATTAACAACTGGGCAATTCCTGTCATTAGATACACAGATGGAATAGTGGACTGGATTCAAGCAGAACTAAAAGACCTGGATAGGAAGACCAGGAAGTGACAATGAATCATATCCCTCATCCATCATAATGTACACCATGAAGACTTACTGAATGACTCAAAAGACCAAACTGTCCTATAAGTAAGATCAAATGAAGAATAGAAAAGAGACATGGCAAGACAAAGTATTACACAGCCACTACATTTTTTAGAAACCTAGCAGATAACAAGATCTGGTAATGGCGTGGAGGAGGAAACTTGAAAAAATAGAGGGGCTAATTCTGGCCGCACAAAGCCAAGCCTTAAGAAACAAATGCATACTTAGCCAGAACTGAGAAGACAACAACAGACAGCAAAAGCTCTCTCTGCAAAAAAAGCTGAAGAAACATTGGACCACTTAGTTAGCTGCTGCAAGAAGACTGCACAGACTGTCTACAAACAATAGAATAACAAAATAGCATGTCAACTTCTGAAACAAACCTGGCTGAAGCCATCTTTTTTGTTCTCAGTTGCCACACAGCTTGGGGTGGGGGTTGGGGGGGAAGAAACCAAAAGTATTCTTAGACTAAACATGGAGCGGGAATCAAGGTCATTCCCACAGGTGCTGGAAGATAGAGAGAAGGAGGGTCATGAAGCCCACCAATTGTCTTCATTGAGTAGCATGATCAACAGCATAGAGGGAGGGAGGGAGGGAGGGAGGGAAGTGTTACATTTAGTTACTTTGAATTCCTGGGGGAATTTTACAGTTGGTTTCACTTTTGACTGTGCCTATATCAGTGATTGCGAACCTTTTAGAGACTGAGTGCCCAAACTGCAACCCAAAACCCACTTATGTATCGCCCGGTGCCAGGTGGGCGTGGACCACCGGGTGGGTGTGGCTATGGTAGTAGATGGATGGGCGTGGCCAGAGTGGGCGTGGCCAGCTCAATATTGCTCCTGGGGAGGGACGCCTGTGGGGGCCAGGCAGGGTTGGGGGGATTCTGGGGGTCTCCTCTGGGCAGGAGGCTCATCCTGCGGGGTGAGGCGAGGCAAGGTGAGGCAGGGTGGGGTGCCATTGTCACAGGGCAAGGCGAGGCAGGGGCCGGGGCAGCTGCTGCCTGACACCATTGCCCCCCACACACAGAGGCCAGCGAGTGCATGGGTACTGGGATGCATCCAGCCACGTGGGACCTCAGCAAGTTAGCAGGCGGCTGGTTGAAGAGGACGGTTGCCATCTCCGGGGCAAGGCGCGCGTGCCCACAAAGAGGGCTCTGAGTGCCGCCTCTGGCACGCGTGCCGTAGGTTCGCCACCACTGGCCTATATTATGTGTCCAATAAACATGTTCTTTGAGGAAACTTCAAGCCTCAGAGTTCTGATTTGTTTGGATCCATTAGTTGGAACCTTGACATAGCAACAATGGTGCATTGGACTATCTGCAAGAAATACTATTGTCTATAATGAGGAACTAGTGGGACCACAAAATAGACAAAATAACAGAAAATTAAGATGCCAAAATGCTCTGGAGCTTTAGAATTCAACTAGACAAGCACATGCCACATAATTCCAGACTTAACAACTTTTGATAAGATAAAAAAAGTCTGGACAGTGGATGTTGTAGTATCTGGAGACAGCAGTATAGATGAGAAAGAACTGGGGAGGGGATCACAAAATACAAAGACTTGCAAGTAGAAGCAGAACGACTATGACAAAAGAAAGCAAAGGGACCACAACTGAGCCCAACATTTATGTTGCTAAGGGAAAAATTTGTTAAGTGAGTTTTGCTCCATTTCATGATCTTTCTTGCCACAGTTAAGTGAATCACTGCAGTTGTTAAATAAGTCCCATTGACTTTGCTTGTCAGAAGGTCGCAAAAGGTAATCACATGACCTTGGGACACTGAAACTGTCATAAATATGAACCAGTTGCCAAGCATCCGAATTTTGATCATTTGACTAAGGAGATGCAATGGTTGTAAGTGTGAAAAATGGTCACAAATTACTTTTTTCACTGTCGTTGTAACGGTCACTAAATGAACTGTTGTAAGTCGAGGACTATCTGTACCAATATTTGAATGCAATATCTGGTACAATCCCCATACCACTGGAGCATCATTTGAGTACCTCTGGCATTGACAAAAATCACCATCAGTCAATTGTAAAAATCAGCTTTATTTGGAAGAGCGACGGTCCCCTTAACTCCATCAAACAACAATATCTACCTATCCTGGTTCTTTGGGCTTGATAGGTGAATAAAAATGCCCATTCCAATCTAAAGAAATGCCTCTGTGTGGCAACCATAATTCTTTAATATTTATTAACTTTGTTGTACCCTTATTGTACATCACGCAGGGTTACTTGTTGTGAGATAAGTGGTTGTATAAATTTAATAAATAAATAATTTATGCTGAACAGTTCTTATGTTACTTTCCCAGAGAACACACACACAGATACACACACACAAACAGTTGTCACATCATGTTTACTCCTATTTTTGTATTAGGCAAGGTATCTGGAAAATATAGCTGTATACTTGCTTATTTAAGCATTTCTTAGCACATTCTCTTCCTATCAAAAGCTTTGGGAAGCACACAAAGAATCTCTGAACAGCCATTATTGTTCAATTGTCTTAATTATGTCAGCAGATGCTAAGCTGCCAGAGAATTTGAATCCGCTTTTACCACTGAATAGCAACCTTGTTTATGTGTGGCCTGCATTGATTTTCATAAGAGTTTCTAGATAGAACAGCAACAACTACAACTCCACTGTCTCCATGCATTTTAGAAAAGAAGATGAAAACAATCTACTTCTCAACATCTCTCCAATTTAACTCTATGAAAATCTGGGAATTGTCGGTCTTTTGAGAAGCCATGTTTAAAACCAGAAAAGCTTCTAGTTTTTGTCAGTCATATCCCTGAGAGATGCAATCCTGGAAATACTTTGGCTACTCCTTGTTGTAGCAATTTAAAAATAACAGAAGGCCATTTTCTCTTGGGACTACTATATCATATTTGGGGTACAAAAAAACCCGCTGCTACAGTTAACTGAACAGAAGAGACTGGAATAAACAAGGAGAAAGGTCAAAAAAAGCGATTTAAGGAGATTCTGCTGCTATGGTTCCAAAACAGAGCACAGAGTTTAACTTTCAGAAATCTGTCCATTCTCCTCCCCTGCAAAATGCTAGTCCTCTTCTCGAAGAAAATCAAGAAAACCTGTAGTGTGTTGGGAAATCAGTGAATGTGAAACTGTGACCTCCAGGATCTGGAAAAGGCCAATCTATTTGAGCAATCTGAAAGGGCTCTCTTGCGAAATGATGGTTTGCAAAACAAGGGAAGGAGAAAATATAAAAGCAGCTGCCTGAAAGGCCAGTTTATGCGATGTTTTCTAATCCGCTTATTGAACAATGCAGGTGCTGAATGCTGAAGAAATCACACACTCAGCATGCCAGTGTGGACCTTCCTAACCTTACAACAATGCTCCCTGAGCAGGGGCCACATGAAGCCATTGGAAGAGCCTTATTTTTAGCATTCCCCAGCAGCTGGGGTCCCATAGGCATTCCCCAGTCAGCTGGAAGACTGCATTGTGCACAGAGCCCTTGGGAGAAGACCAAGTTCACCACTGCAGCCTGAAACCCGACTCTGTATACACAACTCCACAGTACAGTCCCACTATAGATATAGCAATTGATGTCCCAAAATGCTAGCTCCTCCTGGCTCCTGCTAAAATCAAGCCAATTTGGACTTTAAGCGACATGCTCTTATTTCCGGAAGACTTTCACCTCTTGGTTTTAGGGGCCACTGATGAGGATGATGCTCTTTTCCCATAACAGGACAGAACTCATGTCCTTCTGTACTATATAAGGAGTTTCCTCTACTCCTAAA